AACTCTTGGACTGTGGACTTTAGCTCAAGAATGTAATAAGAAAATTATTAAAGATTTATTAGCTCTGTCTGTAGAAAACAAGATATAACGTGTGTCTCTAACAGGCCGCTGTCTCTGGGAATTATGTCTCGACAAAAGCAGAATTTGCTGTGGCTGATGATCATCTGTTGTGCTCCGTGCCAGATAAGTATGTTGCTTAAAAAAAAACAGCTTTCATTAACTTGAAGAGAAATTAATGGCAGTTAATATGTTGTTTGGTGCCCATTAGAAAACAAGTGAAAACTTGATTATGGCTGTGGACATCTAAATGTTGACATCTAATACAGAGTTTTATATCATGTCATACATTGCTAATAGCCTTAAATGTTGTCTTTTTTTGTTCAGCCGGCTCAGACAAAGTGAAAGTCAACATCCAAGTCAATTCGACAGATCAATGTTTCTGGAACAGAAGTAGCTCAACAGTTCCAGGTAGATGTGAAATATACTGCTAACATGACTGTGTGATACTGCATATTTATTATCTGAAAGCACTTGTGATGACGAGTTCATTTCTGGTTTTCTTTTTTTTTTCAGATATAAATCTGACATGTCTAAATGACGATAAACAGAAAAGGAATGTTGACAAAATAATTGTCAAACTAAACATCTCTTCTCACAGTAAAACTATATTTCATTTATAAATCGCTCTCACATACCAAACTCCTTAAAAAGCTTTTTTATTTGATATATTTATTTATTGATTGACAAACATAAATGTTCTCTGTAGTTTCAGGACAATGCACAACATACAGTTTCAACATAACACAACATGGGGATAATTATCAAGTCACAATGAATGAGATGGTTGAAGAAAACAAAATATATTTTTTGCCAGATAAATGCAACTGTGGGCTAAATCTGAATACAGTAGGTGCGTGTCATCTTACAACAGAAGCAGCATTCGTGTTGAAGGGTTTTGTGTGTGTGTGTGTGTGTTTATGGAAAATGCACATTGAAAATGCAATGTAACAATTTTAGTTTCCGAATATTTTAGATTATAAGTCATTAGTTATTATTTTTAAAAGGTTTTGATGTAAATAATAATTAATAATCTCTTACCTTCTGCATGATCCACATCAGGTAATATTGTGAATTGCCAGATAAATCTAATTGATAACATCCCCACATTGACATGCCCACACAAAGGTAAGAGTTTGTTTACTTTAATAGTGTTTGTTTATGTGTTCAATTAGAGCAGGACAACCTTGTTAAATAGGGCAATAACTGTGCAGCAGTCGTGTAAGATTAAAGTGATGACATGAAAATAAACTTACATTCAGGATAAAGTGTATGGGGACAAAAAGAAACTTCAACATAAAACTATATTATGTTAGTAGCCTACCAATAAATTTGAGTCAGTACATTTGATCCATTTTCTATTTTGATCAACTTGACACAATATATGATTAAGAATGAATTACGAAAAATATGGGCTGTTCACACAGAAAGCCATTTTGCATTTTATTGCACTGCTTTTTCATAGTTTTATTCATAGAAACATGCACAGCTCTTAAGGCGAGTTTAGATTCATGAGGACTACGTGCGGCTCATTTAAAAAACAATGACTCTTTACTTCAGTGTTTCTGTCCGTGTATATCTGTAGTTGTCAAACTTCCAGTGAAAGCAAAGCGTCTTGCATCCAGACTCACACAATAATAACCAAACTAACTAAAACCTGCCACCTGCAAAGGCATCCAAAATAGGCAAGCACACAATTTACGAGTAACTTCAGTGGAAAATAAATGAATGGCAGAGCAGATGACATTAAATAACATTAAATTAACATTCAGGGAAGACATTGAGTTCACATTTTATTTTTTGGGGCTGCAGATTGATGGACAACGGATAGTGGTGTGCTGATTTTCATAAAGTCGACACTGATTACAAAGCCGTTTTCTGTGCTATTATAAGCATGCAAACATTTAGTGCAAAGCAGCAGATGTTTTATTGCTTTGACTTCATATACTGTATGATTTGAGAATTATGTTGCATTATGTGTTATCATGGTCTCTTGAGATTGTAAGGAAAACTCTGCTGTTGATCCTGGAGAGAGATGTAGAAACGCTACATATGAGCACTCTACATGCAAGAGTAAGTTTGTGTCTTAAGATTTATGCTCAACTGGGGCCTCAGTAAACTAGCTTAGATTACAAGCATTTGACATAATTAAAATTCCCCTCAAAGATAATAGTGCATTGTGTAATACATGAATGTTATTCAGTTTTTATTTTCAGCACCAGCATATATTCCTCTATGCTTAAAATGATTTTGTTTCTGCATGTTCTCACTTCATGTACAATGATAACCCCACGTTATTTCTATTATTATTTTTTCTTGAAAAGAAACCAAATAAACAGATAGTGTACTGTACACAAATCTGGTGATCTCCGTTGTAGGACTCATTATTCATTAATAATGAGACTATGTTAATAACACATAGATGAATTGTGATGAACATGCATCTAAAACCCTGCAATGAGATTACAGTGTTTCTAACTTTATAAATGAACAATACAATATATTAGATTATTCTTTGAGACTTAGCTGCAGAAATATATTAATCAAATCCATCCCTTATTTATTTCTGTGTACCAAAGATAAAGAAAAAAGCCGCTATGTTATGTGGTCTACTGGGAACAAGTGGAAATGTGTGATGTGCAATGAACCAAATACTTCTTGTAGTCAGGGGAACAAAACTGCCTGTATCAAACAACCTCAGAAAAATTTCAGTAAACCTGAAATTAAAAAAGACGAGGGATTTATTGATCCTGCCGATGCATCGTAAGTGTGCGATTACCAGTGTTTTTTAAAATGAAATCTCTATTAAAGAATAATACCAAGTGATTAAAAAATACATTTTGCAGAGACGCCTTGGACAAAATGGAGTCTCTGTTAAAGGAGATGAAAAAAGACAATAAACACACTGCGTCAGTTGTCATGGGTGATGTTATTGGTGTTATCCAAAGACAAGCCGAGAACGCAGAATTTGAAGACTTGTGCTACTCTTCAGAAGAGAATGTGATGAATGTAAGGCCTGAGAAGCATTAAAAGTATTAAAAGACGGCCATCATTCATCAATGCTAATTCTTCTTCTTTTCACAGATTCTTGACTGTCAAAGTGACCTGGAGAAAGGTAATTTTCCCTGGTCTGTAATGATTCCCAGTGAGGCCTTTGATAAAGCAAGTCTGGAAAACAATGAAAGTGTATTTGTTTACGTTTTTCGGTTCAAAAACATGGGAAGGAAGGTACTATTCTATGTTGTTGTTTTTACTTTTAACAGTTGTTGTATGGAAAGATTCTTCCAAAATTCAACTTGTGGACTAATGTTTCTTGAACTATTGCATTTACACATATTTTTATCTGATTAATGATCCCTCTATTCTTGTATGGTTTCTGATTTAGGATGAAACTAACAGTGTTTTGAACAATGAGGTTTATGGAATAACTATGAGGGCCAATATCGCCAACCTTACTAACAATATTGAAATGTTCTTTACTCAAAATGATCAGGTAATGAAGGTTTAGTTGCAAAAAAAATATTTGACATACATTACACTTACACAAAACTTATTTTACAAAAAAAATGAAAAGAAGCGTTCCTACAGGTCGGTAAGGCGTCCTGTGTTTCTTGGGATGGCAAAGGTAAATTAATTTATGGCTGTACTGATCAGTTCACGCAAACAAACCCAATTTATTTTCTATAATTAATTCATATAATTAGTTTAATTTGTCGCTGTCTTTTCTTTGAAGGAGGACTTAAATGGACGACATCTGGCTGTGAGACAGAGCAAATCGACAACACCACCATAAAGTGCTCCTGCTCACATCTGACGTTCTTTGCAGTGCTGATGGTGAGAAGCTTCTCAGAGAAGAAGAACTTACACCAGGGGTCTCGAACCTTATTTCATTCGAGAGCTGCTTTTTAAAAATAAAAGTGTCTGAGAGCTACCCATGTTACACAATACTTAAATCTCTTAAGGCAAGGCAAGGCAAGTTTATTTATATAGCACATTTCATACACAATGGTAATTCAAAGTGCTTTACATAAAAGAAATACAAAACAAAAAAATAATCACAACAGTAAAACAAGGAATTTAAAACTTTGAAAATGATTTAAAAATTGATTTAAAAGGTTTAAAATGAATTTAAAACAGTTAAGAATAGAAAATGATTATACATAAAATACAGTGCAATCAGTTCGGACATCGCACAGTGCTCATTCAGTAAATGTACAGCTAAATAGATGAGTTTTCAGTCTGCATTTAAATGTGACTAATGTTTTAGCACATCTGATCTCTTCTGGAAGCTGATTCCAACTGCGGGTGGCATAATAGCTAAAAGCAGACTCTCCTTGTTTTGTGTGAACCCTTGGTATTTCTAACTGACTCGATCCTAGTGATCTTATAGGGGAGGTCTAATGCTATTTCATGCATTCTGAGTTATTTACACTCTTTAGAGTTGGACTCTCATGCTAAACATGACCAAAGTCCCAAAAAACGAGTTGGACGTATGAAGGAGTATTTCTGTGCCAAATACACTCCTTCAGGTTTCGTACAAGTTTCGGATTTTTTATTTTTTTATTGCAAATATAAACAAACTTCAACATTTAGATACGACTGTGGATGACAGCATAAATAATATAAATAACAGGAAG